GATTTCTTCTGGGGTGAAAACCTTGGTTTCACCTTTGTATTCAACTTGGATGTTTGGCTTACCACCCTTATCAACAATCTTGAATGGGAAATGTTTAAGATCGTTTTGAACTTCAGCATCATCAAATTTTCTACCAATCAAACGCTTGGCGTCGAAAACAGTGTTTGATGGGTTGATAGCAGCTTGATTCTTGGCAGCGTCACCAATCAATCTCTCAGTATCAGTGAAGGCAACGAAAGATGGAGTAGTTCTGTTACCTTGGTCATTTGCAATGATTTCAACTCTGTCGTTAGCGTAGTGAGCAACACAGGAGTAGGTAGTACCTAAATCAATACCGACAGCTTTAGACATGTTTGTATATTATGTATATGTTAATTGTTATAATATATAATATTAAGAAAGGAAAAGGTAAAAGAAATGAAAGAAGTTTGTTTAAAAAAATTGTCGACAATTGGTGATATATTTATAGTACAATTTAATGACAATTGGCAATTTTGAAATTTTTCAAAATTTTCAAATTAAGCAATAGTCAAGTCTATCAGTGGCACAAAAAAGTGGGTTTGGAACATCATCGAATGTTGTAGAATGTGCCAGAAGCTACCAGTTGAAACGAGAATAATCTTTTAACAAAGCAGACCAAAAAAGAGCACACATAGAGCTACCAAATGACAGAAAATACACAAAAGCCTATGATGTCATTTCATGTCAATTGAAGATTCGTTGTGGTACTCATTATCGAAAAGAGTTGGATCTGCTTGAAGAGGATGCAGTAGAAGATACCAAGCACAAGAGTGGGTCAATCACACCCCAACTAAGTGTTATGCTGTTAGTTCCAAAAATCCAAAAATCTATTAAATCTACATCTATGAATGATACCTTGGTTCTATTCATCCAACAACTCTTTGTAATCCTCCAAGGTCAAAGTATTGCCTGAAGTTCCAAGAAGTTTCTGAATAAGCCCATCATCAACATCGTGTAGAAGCACATGAATATGGCTTACACTTCTAACACTTTGTAAACTTGTCCAATTTCTAAACCACACTAAGTTGTTCTTCAGTACCCCCTTATCAATAAATGTCTTTTTCAAATATCGTTCAATGATTCTTTTTGTGAGTGGCGATATATCACCCTCAGGGGAATTGATATCATCAGGTATGATTAATTTCGACCAAACACATAAATGAATCACTGAGTCTTTGAAATAGTAAGGAAACTTGTTATAAATAATCTTTATATCGTCGTCACTATAGAAAATCAAGTCTTGTGGCTGTGATATTGAATACTCCCTTGGTAATGATTTAGTTGCTGGTGATGTTTGACAACGAATGTCGCTTTGTTTCCATTGTAATTCGTCTTTGAGTACGTGGTCGTTTAAGGTTATACCCTGTGATGACAAATCGCTTTTAAATTGTTGGTATTTATAGTATTGTTCTTCACTTCTAGCAAATGACTCAAGTTGGTTTGCGTTTACAATTTGTTGGATTTGAGTCCAGGTGAATGGACCACCAGTTTTGACCTTAGGCTGGATCGTCATATTATGCAGTGGGGGTGGGAGAGAAAGCGAGTATGGTATAATTATTCACGGTGATCAGTGCTGGTGTTGTAGTAATTAGTTTAATTTAGCTTTTATATCTTCATCGCCTCTATTACTTAAACCTGTGAATTTCTTTTTTTAGATTTCTTTTTCTGCATGATACCAACATTACTCCGCGTATTTGCCAACGTAAACAATAACACAAGTGCAGTGTCCTTGTAACAGGAAATTAGCACCAATCTTAGCCATAAGAGAAATACAAAGTACTTGGCAATGTCTATTACCTTGGCAACATCCACTGCAGCACATAGTTTCTTCACCAACTGTGGCAAGATCTAGAGAAATTAGATAACTTTGCAGTATAGAACACTAAAACAAACGAACTAACTACGTTTCAACCTAAATGGATTCAAAGGATACATACCACTAAAATGATTCATTTATGTAGATAAAGATTCCCAACGAATTTTCATAATTCAACCTTTCTTTCCAAATTGACCAGCAATAATGCTCTAAATCGATGCAACAAACCCTTATTAGAGTTTTTGAGTCGTAGCATAGAGAGCTTTGCATTGAGGGTTTCCAAACCATAACAACTTCGATAGATTCTTTGTCACTCCGACAATAGTTGCGACCTACTCCTGGTTTAGTCTTCTTATATATAAATGATGCATGACTTTTGATAGCTCCGCTATGTATTCATCTGTTGCTTCAGGTTTACTTTGAATCCTTTGTGCATAGTCTGCCCGTACTTCCCTTAACTTGATAATACCTTCAAATGGGCTCTTCAATGAATCGGCAAAAGTTTGAACAGCAGTTGGGGACCCACTCAATGCTTAAGGTGGAGTAAATTTCGAAAACCAAAGATGAGCAAGCTACAGCTTCAAAGAGGCCATTCTATGACAGCATGACTTTGTAAATTGACGGTGAACATCAGAATAAACTAGACAGAGAAGATCTAGAGACGCGGATGAATGTTTTTCAGGTGTATGTCATATTTCTCTATGTACACCCCTCCCCCTGTAGGAATAAGGTAGAACGCACACCAGAGCAAATCTAGAATCTATTTAATAGTAAAACTGTTGGTACCAATTGTTTTTTTCTGTTCACCTACGTCATTGCAAATGAGAGGGTAAGTGACAGTCAGGATAAGCTTCCGAGTTATACCTCCTATGAAACCGAGTTGTTTTCACCTGTAATTAATCACACGAAACAAGGTGAGATAGGGGGGAATATAGATGATTGTGGTCTATTACCCAATTAAGATTATAGCCGAGTGAGTGATTCGGAGATAAACACTATAAAAAGTATAATGCATCATTACTTAAATTGTGAAAGTGCGGAAGTAGGAAATAGGGAAGCGGGAATTAGACGATAAGTTAAAACAGCAAAGTGATAGAATGAGAACTACTGCCAGCGATCTATTCTGTCATATGACGAGACAAGACAAAGTGTGTAAGTGCTATACGATATAGAGAAGGGCGGGGGTGAGGGGAACGAGAGGGGTGACATATTTGGGAAAACGAGGGGCGCAGGTTGTATATTTGCATGATGAATTTTGATATTTTTGTTGAGTCATAAGAACAAATAATAACAACAACAACAACCCAAAAAGATAAACACATACACACAAGTAACCTTTCCGCAAAGTCTGTTTTGTTTCGTCTTTTAGTACGACTGTAATGATATAGTAAGTACTAAGTAAGTAAAAGTAGAGGTGGTAGTGTACTGATTACCTAAAATGGAAGATGATGGAACATTTTGATTTTTCCTTTGGCACACAATAAGGAAAGTGAGACACACGCATATTACGCAATTGCTACTAGAAGTAAAAGGTAGATGACACCTCATCTATTATACTATATTATACTATATTATACTATACTATACTATATGTCACAGGGCTGAGGTCACACTTGTACACTCTAACTCCTATTTAACTAAACACATCATCAATAGCATAACATCTCCAACTTCTTTTGTCTTATGTCCGTATAATAGCATATAATAATTAGTAGTATACCTGCATGTAAATAGTAATAGTTGCCCAAAAAAAGAAATTTAAGAAATACTTTAACTGTTTACAAAAGGAGAGACTCAGACACACAGACACACAGCAAATAACAAAACAAAACACATTACACTGCGCACTACTACACTACTACACTACTACTACATACTTGAACATATAATATACAGATTACAAATCAACAAACTTTACCAACCACTTTTTCTTTTACTTATCCACTTACAACCAACCACCTTTCTTTAACCAAAGAGTACTATCTATACACTACCATTATCATTATACCCACCCCTTGCACTCATATATATCTATATCTATATTTATATTTATATCTATATCTATATATCCATATATCCATATATTTATACCAGCACATTTTTTAGGAAAAGCGTACTGGTAACAACACATCACAAGACATCACTTCATCATATCAAAAAAGCAAGCACAAGAGACAATAACTACTACGCCCAACAATATGACTTCTTTAGCTGTTTTACCACTGTTGAAGAGGACTATGACTGACATGATGGATGAAGAGTTGTATCAAATACCATCATCACCCATCTTTACCACCACTTCCAACAACAACAACAATAAACACGATGGTTCCGATAACTTCAACGATGGCTTTAATCTTAATAATACTACCAACTACAACCATGCGTCCAATAGAAACTCAGTCAACTCATCACCTAGCTTCCCCTTTGCTCAGTTAAATAATGCCACTAGGGACTCGTTTTACAATGGAACTGCTAATCAGAACAATTCTAACAACAATTTGGGTAATATGCTTAATATTCCTGACTCATTTCTTGAACAAATAACGTCGAAGGAAGGTATTGACCAGTTTAAGCAACAGCAACAGCAACAGCAACAGCAACAGCAACAGCAACAGCAACAGCAACAGCAACAGCAACAGCAACAGCACCAGCAACAGCAACAGCACCACAACCAACAGACACTAATACCGGAATCGGAATATCCGCAAGATTCACAACCTACTTACGTCAACCCTTTCACCAACTATGCTAATCCAAACTCATTCATTAGACCCTCACAAGCATTTTCTCAGCAAACACTACCATACAGGTCACAGAGTCCAGCATTGGACAGTAATCAATACCCTCAACCACCTCCTTTACCTCAAGCTTTCCCACAAAGAAGAAGAAAGAGAATTACTACTATTGATGACTTGGAGCCAACGACTAATAAGAAGAAGGGAGTAGATGAGGATTATTTGTTGTATAATCCTGATATCTCACCAGGACAAGTTATTCATGCATCTGAATTGGATGAATCATTTTATGTTCCACCCAGTAACAATAATGACATAATAAATGCCAATTCTATTGAGGAGTTTGAAAACGATATCATACCAGGATATGAAAACGATTATTTGTACTTGGATGATGAACACGAAGAGATTGAGGAAGATTTATCTGATGATGACGGAGATGAGGATAATTATTTCCATGTTGATGAAGAATTTGATGATTACATTATGAGCAATTCTGGCTATAACATCATCAATAACCATTCTAATGAATATTCTACATTTGATGCATTCAAGAATATATCTTTGGAGGATCACCATAGTCATCAGCAACAGCAAGAGCAAGAACAACAGCAGAAGCATCAACATGAACAAGGGCTGCAGGAGCAACAACAACTACATCTTGAAGAAGAACATGACGAAGAGCACCATGACTTGGGTAATCCTGCATTACAAGAATTACATGATGAGGCCGTTATCAAGAATGAAGAAGACTTTGACTCACAACCTGTTGTTTCTGAAGTTTCACCGTTATCAATTGTATCGTCGTCATCAGGATCTACTCCTCACACTGACCATTCAACAAGTAATGTGGAAGCGATACATATCAAGCAGGAACCAGAGGACAGGGCCAATTTTAATCTGACATTGGATGATGACGAGGACGCCATGATGATTGATGATTCTGATGATGAAGGTATGGCTAGACATGGATCTGATAGTGTTTCCATCGTCAAAGCTAAGAACAAGACTTTGGACGAGGAACATCCATATAAGCTAGGTGCTGAAATATCGGCCACCAATCCCGATCACCGATGCGAGTTAATCAATCCAAACACAGGAAAGGTTTGTAACAAGGAGTTTTCTCGTCCATATGATTTGATTAGACACCAAAACACCATACATGCGTCCATGAAGAAGATTTACCGTTGTGTGATATGTGAAGGAAGATATAAAGGTGGATTGGGCAATGGTAAACAAAAGACATTTTCAAGAAATGATGCATTATCAAGGCATATCAAGATTAAGCATGGAATTGTTGGTGACGAAGCATTGGAATTGATTAATGAAGCAAAAGAAAATGTCGAATATCATCCAGTTACAGTTGCAGCCGGTGCATGAGAGAGAAAAAGAGGGTACAACATTGATTGAAGGTACTTGACTAATTTTATATATATACATAGTAGGAATGAATTTACATGTACATACGTTGACTTGATGCTTTGAATCTCTATTTTATCTATATATAAATACACTCCTCTATCAAATGATATGTAATTCTGTTCTAATTAGGGAGAACTTTTCACTGGTCGACTTTTAAAATCAGAATCAAACACATTCATTTCATATTCTTCACCATCTTCATTCTTTTGATACTTGCCATGAGAACTACTGGCATTCAATACCAAATGGTCAACAATTTCATCAACTGATTTGCGTTGTCCACTGGAGCTCAGACCGAGAAAATTAGCCCCCTTCACCCACGAATCACCACCATACTTCAACGTCAAGTATTGGAACGCAATATACACATCCAAACTCATTTGAAATAACCCAGCAGCTATGAAAATGACCGATACGTCATCGGTACCATACACCAAATAGGAAATCTTGGTGCAATCGCCACCTAACCATGACAAAAGCAAGATAATTTTGAAATTTTTTACTGATTGAATTCGATTCAACATGAGAATTTGCGGGATGGGCAATAATGATTCGATAAACAATCCCAATATACCGATTGTGTTGGCATAAGTGGCGTTATTATGGAACACAAGGGTTAAAATGCCGAAAACTGTAGCAAACCCAGTCAAGAATGTCCAATAAGCCGATTCATCCAACCATTGCCAGAATAATCCTGGTCGTTTGTAATAAACATCAAATAATCGCAATGTCTGTTTAAACCCCGTTTTGAAATAACTCCAACTCACCAAGATGCCATTATCCAACTGCATCAATACCCAATTAATTATGCCCAAGGACGTATAATCTTTATGTTGGACAATATAATTCGACGAACTTAACCTTCTTGGTAAATTATTTTCAAACTCTTGATCCCATCTTGGAAATGCCGCCAAGAGCTCCGGATCATAGTTTTGGGGCCTAAATCTTAAACTAATCTTTAACAAGACAATTTGTATGCCAATCATGACGATTGACTGATGCAAAAGGGTGATTTCATAAGGTTGACACAAGTAGTAGAATATGCGCAATATGCTGGCCATAAACATGGTGCCGCATATGTCTATACTGAACCCAAGCGACGTTTGGCGTTTGTAGATGGAGATGCATGTTGATCCGTAGGAGAATAATGGAGTGAATGTCATGAATAAGTTGACGCATTTTTGCAAGTCGGGGAGGTAATCGAGGTAATATAGATAATCTTCCGGTAGTAATGATAATGGTGATGAAGAAGAAGATGGTGATTTCGCTTGTGGTTGGGCCTGTGATACAGTCATTGTTGTGTGAATAAATGCGAGCTCTAACTTTGAAATTGCTATAGATGTATGTATTTGAGTAGTCTAGTAGGATAGTTGTTGTCGTCTGATCCTATATCATATGTATTCAGATTGACACGGTAATGACAAAGTCAACAATAACTGCTTCAGTGAAGAGTTTGCCACGAATGAAAGAACAAAAGAAGCTTCACAGTGTATTTATATATACGTAAGGTAAAGTTCAACTTTGTCGATGGTGTTGGCTTTTATTGATGATGATGGCTTTTATTGATGAAGGCTATTTTTGCCGTGTTTGGCTGGTTCTTTGTTGATAATTTTTTTGTTTTCCTTTGTCTTATTGTTTTTTTTTTTTTTTAAAAAATAAGGAACACGGAACAAAAGGAACACAAAAATATTCAATTTTATCCGGAGTTAAAGTCATCCGGATAAAAATTTGAAACGCATATTTTCCATACTTTGCTACACCATAAATTCATCTACTTTTGGGATTAATTATTAATTAACTATATTTTTACAGTATACGAAGAGTGCGTTCACGTGTTTATGTGTTCATGTATTCATGTGTTTGTTTTTAATGCAATAATTTGAGTGGTTGGATGTTCCACTTTTTATCGAGTTGGTGATCCTTCTGGAGTTATTGGCCTCGATTGATGGATATTTCTTCTTCTGAAGCGGTAAAAGCTTTCTTGATCATCATTATCACTGCCTTCTTCTTCATTTTCACCATTACTATTCTCCTCTTCTTCCCCCTTTCCACCAACGTATATTTGAGGAATTGAAGTATGATAAAATCCAAATTGATCAACATCACCACCAGCACCAGTACTACCTTCATCATAATCTTCATTTTCTGAATCTGTAACATATCCACTACGATGTCTAAATAGGGAACTAGTATCCCCCATTCCATCTCCTCCATTATAAGTCAAATTCAGTAATGTATGCCTGCTAGTACTATGATTCAACGCTATTTTGTTACGAATCACTGACTTGGAAGAACTGACACTTGATTGTCTTCTTAACGGACGATATAGCTGTTCATATTCATGCTTGTGCTCATGTGAATCTTGCCTCTGTTGTTGTTGCTGTTGCTGCTGTTCATCATAACCTGGTCCTTGATTTGGCGCTATATAACGAGGCTTGAACGTGAATGGTTTCATTTGAGTAGCTTCCTTTATTTTCTGTGGCTCATACTCTTCACCAGTAGTTGACGACACTCCCTCCTCGTCGTAATCGTCGTAGTCATAACCATATTGATCATACTCAGCAGCATAATCAGGTTCATTCAGATCACCAAACACGGGGCTACTGCCGTATCGTAAATCGTTACTGGAGAGGTACCCTCCATCATAGTTGTTCGACGATTGACTTGATCTAATCATTCTTCTCTTTTGAGGCAACTTCAGTTGGAAATCATTCTGACACAACTGCCCATATTTGTCAATTTCAACCATCAAGGTGAACAAGTCATTTTCGTCAATTAACCCTCCACTAAAACGACATTTTTCATAAGTAGCAATCAATTTAGGGATATTTGGCATAGTCTTTGATAAATGATTAGGCTCTTCAACCTGCAAGATTTGTTTATAAATGGATAACAAAATTTCCTTGACTGATAAATTCACTGGTAGATCCTCAACAGTAAAGAGCTTCCCAACTTGAAATTTATCGCTTAAACTTTGCAACACATCTTCATAAGATATATTCGGCGGCAATAATTTCCCTTCCAAGCCTGGATTACGATTTTGAATGTATTCTGGAGGCGATAGTCCTGGATGATTGATGGAATACTCTTGGTTCAAAGGGCCGGCTCTTCGACTTACTTCAACACTGTATTTCAATTTCAGATCAATATAACGAAAGACATCCTTCGGGTAATCATTTTCAAAAGGGATGTACAACGACTTTGATGACACATCATTCATGGCCACTCGAAATGAATAGACTCTTCCCAAGTACATAATCAATGAGAATAATAAGAATGCCACACAAACTATAATCACAAGAAAGGTCTTGACGGCAATAGCATTGGTTGCCCTTAACGTTTGAACAATAACATCAATGGGTGTAACAGCAATAAAAGACAACATGACAATGATTATGATAACTAACGAAATGGAGTACAACCAGGTAAAGACCCGTTGCGACAAGTTTAATATATTATTTGCACGTGGTTTGGGTATATATGCAGTTGTGTATGCAGTTGTTGCTCTGTTCAATGCTAGCGCACCTTGTTGTGATTCTGTGCCTATTGTCTGGTCCGTTGAATCATTACTTACAGCCCGGGACTGGGCGAGTACTGCATTTATGAGATGAGGATTTTGATGTACTTCGTCGATTGGATCAACGGAGTCAATCAGTGGTGAGCGAGTTAACGATCTTGAATATGGTGAAATATACCCACGAGCCAGATGCGATCGAGCTAAAGGTCGCGGATGATGGATTCTATGGTGCAGATGATGGATTCTATGGTGCAGATGAATAGGGCTTGTTAGTATCCTAGGTGATTGGCTATGTATATGTCGGTCCAGTGGCAGCGGCGGTGATGGAACCCGTTGTCTCAGCCGTGAATCATTATTATTGTCTGATGTTGGTGAATGCAATCGATAGCTGTCTAACGATTGGAATGATAAGTTATGAGTTAGGCTGTGACGCTGAGGACTGTTCAGTCGTAGTGTTTCTTCATGCTGTGGCGGTGGTGATGGTGCTATATCTGACGGCAGTCGCTGATGTTGATGCTGATGCTGATGCTTATGTCGTTTTACCATGGTTTAAGTTTGTTTTATCTAGTTTTTTGTCATATAGCGTTCATGGGTAAGAGGATAAGGAGATGTGAATAAATTGGTCTCTGGTTAATAAAATTGTTTGTGATGATGATGATAGCCGTTGAACTTTTCTTTGATATTTAATAATCATTAATTTTCCAAATAATCAGAGAGTTAACAATAACTAAAAACAAAAAACTAAATTCTTATTACTATGGCTGTGAATACATCGCTACCACATGTGTGTTTATTTTTGGAAACTCCATTATATAGCAAGGAGCTTGCAGTTCAGTAAAACTTGTTCAATAGTCTATGCCAAACAATTCCAAGGGTTCGATATTTTCGTACCTTATATCTCCCGGTTGATACTCATCTCTAGGAAAGGTTAAATTTACCCCTCGTGAAGATCCAAACCAATTTATATACAAATTCTTCCAAATTGAATGGGTGTCAAACACATTAACAAAATCGACATGCTTTCTTTTGTAGACATTGTTCAAGTATTCACGGGTAGTAATATTTTGGCTCGTCAAGAATAGATGAAATGCTAGCAACAATAAAGGATACAATAATGCCACAATTGAATAAACAACCAAAAACAAACTGAGTGGAAAGTGTCTAACTGATTGAGATATGTCGGTAATATTTTCAACCTTGTCAATTCGATAATAACAAAGCTGCACAGCTGAAATGACTAATAAGTAGATACACGCTAAGCAAGCAAAAAGCAAGAACCACAAGAAATACATGTAATTTCTCCCACCAACACAGTTGTTTAAAAACATACAATGATGGTCATGGTTCAACACACATACCTGGCAAGTGCCACAGTGACTTGTCCTTGGGGGTCGCCATATATGGCAAGTGGAACAATATTTAACCAAAACACCGTCCTTGGAACTCCCATATGACGGTAGTGTAATGGTGTTAAAGTATTCATCAGGTGGATTATCGACTCGCCCATTGTTTATAGATTTGGGTATATGTAGATTTTTGGGCAAAACACCTGCATCACTTGTGGCTGCTTTCCAAAAATGACAAAATGTAAGCAACCACACATAGACGAATGTAATCACCACTGCAGGCAGGAGATGATGCCATTGCCATTTGGCTTCAAATATACAATAAATAATTATCGGGATGACGGCAAATGCACCAGTTATGATATTGATTGGTATACCCTTGATGCTTCGTAATCGACCGCCAAAGAAGAAGACAAATCTCACTTCAGGATTCTTTTCAATTTCATAATTCTTGCTGTGGTGAGATTTATTATGATATTTCTGTAGTAGAACGGGATCCATGATTAGCCAGTTTGTAATGAACCGGTGAATAAATGGCAACGGCTTTGGTTCCACAGGTTGTTCCCCATGACGATAATGATTCTTGGATTTATTGGATTGGCTTTGTCGAAGTGATGCTTGGGAGTGCGATTCCACATAGGGTTGATTTATAGTTGGACTCTGTATCAACGTGGGGTCATCTGTTGATCCTTGACGTGTAGAAGTCATACCAAATAACCATCTCTCTCTTTATTGCAAAGCATTTAAAATATAGTCCAAAAAATTTTTGTACTTTATCAAAAACTCAGGAGAACTTTAAGGCAAGGAGACACCATGTTTAGATCACGGCTAATATCCAGACGTCCATTCTTACCAAGCTCCTACGCATCCGTTTATAATCCATTGCACCTACAGCAGAGACGTACTTTGAAACTTTCTGCCAATGCAGCCGCCGGATTAAAATCGTATGGGTCAGTAATAAATATTCTTGCAGGAGCTTATATAGGAGGATTGATAGTGTCGCTCGGGTCATTCTACTTCTTATACCATGATGCAAATGAACGACAAAGCATTCCCTTTGAGTTGAGTTTTGAGGATCAAATTGAAGCAGTGAAAGCGATAAATAAAGATGATGTCTTGCGGAAACCAAACTTTGCTGTTAAGCATTACCGCAAAATTTTATTTGATTTGGCAAAACGAGTGGACCCCAGTATTGATGAATCTCAATTTGACAACTATAATGTCCCTATCATTGATTCACAAATATTGGTGTATGATAAGTCCAATAAATTTTCCAATTTTTACATCGACGTGATTTTAAGATACAGCAAGGCTCTTTTAGCTAAAGGCGAATTGGATGCCTCGATCAAGACCTTGAGAAAGATTATTGATGACGATTTGATTTACTACAAGTTGGGAGACGCCGAAAGATTATCTGAATGTAGTCGATTATTAGCCAAAGTCAGCCAAAGCCCTGATGATAGAATTCATATTTTACAAAGGTCGATTGATATGTTATCCAAGACGTATTCATCTATTCAAATTAATGATGACTACACCTTGAAACAAAATAGTAAAGTTTCAGACGAGTTGATAAATTGTTTAAATGATATGGCTTTCCAATTGGCTAAAATGTCGCAAGATGTGCCAAAGAAAAGGAAATCAACTCTTCTCAATGAATCATTAGCGATCTATCTATCCACTTTACAAGCTTTGACAACCATTCGGGAAAAGTTGGAAACTCGAAAAGCCAACCAGTCTAATTACCCGTTGTTTAATGTTGATCGAGAAAATTTAATAACACAAATATGTTCAGTAAAGGCCCACATTAGTGAAATTCTTTGGGCCCAAGGGTTTAAACAGGATGCTATAAATTGGTCAGAAGAGATCTTGAATGAATTGTATTATGATCATGCGTCATCGCCGAAAGTATCACCTATACTTGAAAACGTGTTAGCTAACTTAGCTGACATGTATTCGATTCAGAAAAAACGAACCGATATCGAACGTTGTCAGAGGTTAAAAAAGGATTTGAAAAAGTATGAGAAACCGGACGATATGGATGATAGACTTAAGGATTGGTATGAGAGTGTTATTAACAGATGGAGTAAAATCATTTATGATCAAGGTCCATTGGGTATCATATTGGTTCCTCTACAAGAGCGGTATGGACCGGGAAGAAAGATTAGAGAGCTCGAAGAATTTGAGAAAGAAGATGAATTGTAAGGGTGAGGCAAGGTGAGCTTCTTCGCGTGAGCTAGTGACTTGTATATAATTATATGGTAGAAAACAAGAAAGCGTCCATTTAATATTAAAGTGTATGCCTAAACGGGCACTTTACATTACTAAAAATTACTTCTAAACTGTACAGATAAAGTGATTGACACTTTTTAGCTTTATGTAGGAACCAGACGGAGGGAAGTCAAAAAAATTTAAATTTCCAACTGGGTTTCACCAGAGGAAGCACTGACTTTTGCCATGACTGTACAACCATCACTAACGGTCAAAGCGGTGAAGAAGCAACTCCGCAACCAGATCAAATCTAGTCTTAAATCTGTGACCCAAGAATCACTAAATTCACAGTCGCAATGCATTTTAACAAGACTTGCAAATAATGCTACGTTTCAAAACGCCAAGTCAATTGCTGTATTTATGAATATGCCCGATCTGGAAGTAAAGACCCTTCCGATTATAGAGCAGTGTTTCAAATTGAACAAGCTGGTGTACTTGCCAAGATGTAATACAGTGCCCCTTAAACACCGGAAACCAAACTATTTATCTATGCTCAAGGTTGAAACATACAACGATATCTTGCAATTACAGCCACAGGGCAAATACCAGCTTCTCGAACCAACTTCAGGAGAAGATGCATTAGAGTCGGGGGATTTGGATCTCATATTACTACCCGGAGTAGCTTTTTCAGCTACACTCCAGCGCTTAGGACACGGAGCTGGCTTTTATGACGAGTTCTTGGACACATACAAACAAAAATGGTCAAAGTTGCCGGCCTTAATAGGACTTTCGCTACAGGAGCAAATTGTGCCCGAGGATAGCCTACCGGTAGAGGACCATGACTATGGACTTGATCAAATAGTAACTAGTTCACTGACATACCCATCATTGCATCAAATATAAATAACGTCTATTAATTCACATACACACCAATTATACAATTCTCCAACATGCGGTCAGCATTAACCCAGCTATGGTACTTGTTGAATAAACTAGTACCATCCTTACCTGCACATTTCATGATTTCATCGACTCCGCCAGGATGAAAATTTACATATGGTGTTATATTAAATACTTTTCCGTTTATACACGTCCAACAATCAGATCGGCTCTTGTGTTTCTTCAACTCTTCTTTATTAACTTTCACGTACTGTGGAGGGGGTGTAGATGGATCAACACCTCTTAATTTGTGTTTAGGTTGTGTTCGATTCAAATGGGCCCAGTCCAATGGAGAGTGGCCTGGTTGTAAGACCACCTTTTGACGAGCGCGTGCTTGAGGTGAAGGGACAGTGAGTGATGGCGATAGTGAGGAGGAGGGTGTTGTTGCAGCTGCACGTTGAGCTGAGTTTATTGCAGGAAAAGTGCCATTTGAAGAAGATGGAGGAGGTCGAAGACCCAGTGATGGGGGCCTTAGAGAGTTCCTTGCTGCTAGTCCTTGATTATTATCCCGCACTTTCCTGCTTAAATCTTCTAGACTTGATACCATGGGTAGTTCTTTATTTGTGGTTGATCTTACGAAGGTGGCTGATCTATGACCATTAGTGGTTATCATTGGTAGCTCTTACCTTCAATTACCAAATTTTTATTTTTTTTGCTTGTTTTATTTATTTGTGTCTTTCAAGACTCCAACACATACCCGCAAAGACGACATACATAACGAGATGGGAAGACATCCGTATAAGAAAAGGAACCAGGCGGTTGCTATAACGCGACCTACTACTGTGGAAGTTCAGAGATTCATACCCACTAAATATGAAACTCCTGTGATGACATTGAAAAATTTCCCATCATCAATAGTCAATGGTGTCACTCGTGAAGGTGGATTGTATTCGCTCACGCTAAAGTCGATAAATTGTGCCAAGTATGTGGAAAACAACGACAATATGAGACGTATATTTAAGAAAAGACGGTTGGAAATACCGAAGGTTTCACATTTAAACCGTAACGACCTCTTGGAAAAGTTGCGCAAGGATGTTCAAAAGGAAAAAGAAACCAAAGTTGATTTGAAAAAGGAAGAGAATGACAAAATAACGGCGTTGAATAAAGAGTGGGATTCGCTATTAAACAGTGTTTTAGATTTAAGTGAATTCAACGACAAATTGTTGCAGGATATAGAGTCAGAAGGTAAAAGGTTTAGATTCATCGAAAAGGCATACTCGATCACCAATGACGTTACCATCCCTGACTTGCGTGTTGAAAAAATTGAGCAAGTGAAAGATCTTGACGCTACAGAATACTACCAAGCTCCTTTACAAGTTGTCGACACCGATGAAAAGACAGTAAGCAACGAAATAGAACAAGACGATGGAGAAGTCGCCGTGACTCCCGATGTGGTAGGTGATCTTGCAACATATCAGGATTATGCCGTTCCTGAAACGAAACTCAATGATAGCTACACTCAATAGATAATCGACACACTTAACTCATAATGTACAAATAAATCATAATCCATCTACTGTAAATCACTACTCTACATCATGTCTACTCCGATTTCCCCAAAACAACACCTTTGATGATCAAATAATCTTGGACACCAAACTTGGAACCCTCTCTTCCAAATCCAGATTCTTTGATACCACCAAATGGCAAAGCAGCTTCCGAAATTGCACCAGTATTGACTCCAATCATACCAACCTCCAATGCTTCAGCTACTCTAAACGTTCTATCCAAGTCTTTGGAATAAAAGTAGCCCGAGAGTCCAACAGGGGTATCGTTTGCCAACTTGAGAACTTCTTCCTCGCTTGAAAACTTGATAAATGGCGCAAGAGGACCAAAAGTTTCTTCATTAAAAATTTCCATATCTGGAGTAACATCACCCAAAACCGTAAGTTCATGGAAGTTTTCCCCCAAGTCTGGACGCTTCTCCCCACCTAACAACAATTTTGCACCCTTGTCCAATGCATCTTTAAGCTGACTTCTAATCTTTTCCATTGAGCCCTGGTGGATTAATGGTCCATAGGTTGTCTTCTTGTCCAAACCATTACCCAACACAACAGACTCCTTCAACTTGTTTACAAACTTTGTAGTAAACTCGTCATAAATAGATTCGTGGACGAAAATCCTGTTTGCACAAATACAAGTTTGGCCACTTGATCTAAACTTACTGGCAATTGCACCAGAAACTGCTTTATCTAAATCAGCATCTTCAAAAATAATAAAAGGAGCATTTCCACCCAATTCAAGTGACACCTTCTTCAATGTCGAAGCTGATTGTTGCATCAAGAGCTTTCCGACTCTTGTTGATCCAGTAAAGGACACTTTCTTAATAGTTGGATGCTCGCAAATCAACTTACCAACTTTAGCTGGTTCATGGGATGCCAAGACATTAACAACACCTTTTGGGAAACCTGCCTCGACACTCAATTGAGCCAAAGCAAAAGCAGATAAGGGAGTCTCAGTAGCTGGTTTGATCACAGTGGTACATCCGGCAGCAACTGCAGCTCCCAACTTTCTTGTGATCATGGCCAAGGGGAAATTCCATGGAGTCATGATACCACAAACTCCAATTGGTTGCTTCAATGCTAAAATGTTGATGTTGTTTGAGTTTCCCGACTGCAAAATGTCACCTTGTACTGTTGGTGCTTGTTCAGAATACCACTGAAAGAAGGAAGCGGCATACCTGACTTCCCCCAATGCATCAGCATAAGGTTTACCATTTTCCAAAACAACCAATTTCGCCAAATCATCTTGATTCTCAAGCATCAATTCGTAAAACTTGTATAATAAATTTGATCTGTACCTCCCATTAGTTTTACCAAAAGTCTTGAACGCTTCACTAGCTGCGGCAATGGCATTTTCAAAATCATCGGCGCTCATGGACTGGACTGTGGCCAAATGAGCTTCCTTTTTGGGCTCTAAGGCAGGGTTTTCAACTTCAAAGGTATCCCCTGAAGAGCTATTGACCCATGAATTGTTAATGAAGCCCTGTGTTTTGAGCAAGTCTTTGTTCTTCAAAATTGATGCCATTCTTGATGATGCTTGTATGGTGGAATAGAGTCTTTTGGAAAACATTTCTACAAAGGTTTGACAATTGCTTTCCTTAATATAGTTCCTAATTTGGTAACTGGAAGTAAAACTCCGCTGCTAAACGAATAAGAGAGCAGCAACTTCCGTCGTATTGTGTGACAAAATTTTTGATTGCTCCTGGGGTTTGGTGGTCGGATAAAAAATACTGCTTGCCGTTAAAGTGCACTTCCGCATTAGGACATTGCCGCGGAAACAGACAATAGGTATCAAATTAGCTGCCAGTATTCAAAGCACTTCAAGAAAGCGATTGCTACAAACACGTGGATAACTATAAGCATGTTTATTATTGTATATTGATTAATCTTTGAGAATATCTACCTTGTAAAGATAATGCATTCAAAGTCTGACTGCAGCTTTAACTTCAAATGTGCTTGGGGCTTTCCTGCTTTCAAGGTTATATTTCTCACTCACAGAACAAACACAACCAAGAAATAGGCCCTATGGTTTCTTCTTTCTCTATTTAGCACTCTCAGCGGTTAACCTCTTGATACGTTTGTCTATTAGCTTACCTGGATTTAATGCAAAGAAACATTTTTTGTCAATTTCCTTACTCTTTTCACGATCAGCAACAGGTAAATCCTTGGCCGATTTGGCACACTTCCGAATTGTTCGTACCAAAGTCTCGTACTGTTCTCTCTTGGACGGGTGCTTGGATGTAGAGCAATTTTCAGTTTCAGTTTTGACTGTTGATTCTCCTTCTTGCTCCGGTTTCACTTCCTTCTCCAAACTTTGCTTCGTATCTTGACTTTGATCTTCTGATGCACCATTTCCCTCAACGCCATTCTCTTCACTCTTGTCATCCTTTAAGAACTTCCTTTTCAAATACCTATCGCTGATTCGACGATCACAGTCATACATTGCTGCCAAAGCTATTTGTGGAGGAGTGAAGAAAAACGCAACGTCACTGAGCATGTAATACTTGTTTAGCCACTCTTTGGCTTTATTGTATAGTTTTCCAATTGTATCAGCCGAGACGTCATACATTATAGGATCGGGGTACAATAAAACAGCTTGGAAATCAAGAAAGAAACCATACAAAGGACGGAAAGGATGATGAACCAACAAAGTAAACTTCAAACTTTGCAACACTTTGAACTCCAAGTCTAGAATATCCGAAGATTGCACCCCCTTGAGAGCTTTCACGTATGACTCAATTGAAATGAAATAATTCTCAGACTTTGCTGCTAGGAAAATGCACGTATATAGAATATTCTTTGGGTGGTAATGCATCACCGAGTTGACCAAGTAAAATTTCTTGAAAAAGGAAGCCGCTGTTAGCCTTACTTGGGTTGGCATCTTGAAAAAATTACACGTAGTGGTGATATTTTGGATATAAAATTCCAAATACGCTGATTCTTCGTCAAGTGTTAATAAACTGATCATGTCCTCGTTTAGTTCTTGTGCAAACTTGGTAAATGCATCGGGATGCTCACTCTTGGCCTTGTTGTAAGCTTGCTCAAATCTTTCTCGTGCAGCATTCACCCCCAGCTCGTTGGCATTCGCTTTAGCTTTCGCTAGCTCATCTTGTGTGAAGGACCATATTTCGTATTGGGTCGAGTTTCGATATAGGTCATCGTTTGATACTTTCTGTTTCTTCGTCACCGGTTTCTCTGAACCACTCGGCAGTTGCATATTGTGTGGCTAGTGTTAAACTGTGATGCCAGCTGTGACGATAAACAACTTCTTTTGTGGGCGATATATATATATATAGATATCTTCAGAGATTCTCAAAAACCTTTTAATTCTCGCATTGTTACTATTTACTGCAAAAAAAAAGAAAAACACTACACACAACTTCATGGTCACCATTGGGCTAAAGAGATGAATACAAGGCGTAACCCATCAGTACAAAGGGCCTGTTCCTAAAAATAAAAGAACCAAATTTATAACCTATAAAACTCCAAAATGACATAAATTAATCATGAGAACCATCAATAAACATGATGAGAGAGGGAGGCTGAGAAGTAACTCATTTAACAAGTGTAAGAAAAGGCTGTTACAGCTTACATCTGTTGGAGGGTTACTTTAGAGCTTCAGTGATGCCTTGCCATCTCACATTTCAAGTTCACCCGCAACCCCATCTTCGTCGTCGCTAGACAAGCTTCCAACATCACTCAACTCATCATCTTCATCGTCTTCACCCTCCTTTTCAGCATCTCCATTCATGTCGGGGATATGCTTTGCATATTGTTCTACGTACTTCTTAACCGTCTCGTTGTATTTATTCTCGTCTTTTGTCATCAAGTTGGATGCCTCGGTATTCAACGGATCACTGGGGTTGGCATATCTTAACAAATGCGGTAAAAAGTTTTCAAATATGTTCAAAAGACCAAACATCGGCGACCAGGTTTGGTTTATAACGTCTAAACAAACTGCTCCCGAACCTTCATCTATATTTGGATGGTATATTTTATTTGTAAAGCCTATCGACGGTGACTTGATTGGATACTGATCTGGCAACTCGACACGGATTTTCCAAACACCGCCTTCATAGGGAGTGTCCTTTGGCCCATGAAATATGACAAAGAATTGCTGAATCGAGTCATCAATCAATGTTACATCGTGATCACTCATCATTAGAGCCATAACATCTTTTTCAATACGTCTTTTGGGTGAACTCATGGCTAAAGTGCTTGCGAATACAACTGCAGTGTTTGGAGTATAACTATTCTAAACGGTGTATGAAAACCGTGGTGTGAACCTCGTGTAAAATGAGTTCTTGGTATGATAATAGTTGCTATGTAACGTGATAAGCACTAATAAACGCCACTTTTTTTTCTGACTTTAATAGAAGAAAACGGGAGCTTGTATAGAAGGTGAACAAAAACTAGGTACCTCCTTTCCTTTGATGATAGGTAGCAGTGACTGTGTAGGTAATAAAGTGATATATAAAAAAGGTGGCGTTGAATAGGATAAGAGTATAATATAAAATGTTGATTTTAAAAAGTGTGTGTGTCCTTTTTGATCGTACTACTATTAATAATTAATTGGCCGTTTTGTGGTTTTGTGATTATATGCGGAAGGAAAGTTGGGAGATTAAAGGTACAGCGCTGGGGGGGAGGGGGAGAAGAGAGGGTTGTAATAAGACATCCGTCTAGTACCTTTAAGAAGTCTGTTAATAGTATCGGTATTGGCTTAGAGAAACAACTAAGTCTATGAAAACCCTATTGGGATGGCAGGTTAATTCCTTACAGTGTGTAAAGATCTTTCTAATTAAGGGGTATGTTTATTTTTATAAGGCTACTTTAACGGTTCCCTCACTTCATTTCTAACCTCAATTATCCAGTTCATAAAAAGAGACACCCAGGAGATAGACATCTGGAGTACTGTCATACCAGTTGACCTGTATTAGTTGTCCCCAGGGGTATAAAAGCGCACTCGGAATTAAATTGTGTGCGGACGTCGCACAAGTTTGTCTCTCGGAGGAGTTGGGGAATTTCTCACGACAAAAAACCTGTTGTTCCGGGCGAGAGAGGTGTATACGCAATCCACAGAGGTTCCATACATTTGCTGTTTCTATTCTCTACATTGCTTTGGGTAAAATCTATACATCTCTATCTAGTCAAATCCACCAACCAGTGGCTTCTGCGTCTTTTTGCAAATCTCAATGGTCCATTTATAGCTCCAAATCTTCTCTCCACCCTCTTTTATCGTGCTCTTGGCTGGATACAAACCTCTCAAAAATGATCCGCCCGGCACTCCTCCAGCTGGGAATGTTACCTCGTGGTAATCACCATCGTCCTCATGATCGTTTACGACGGCATCCTGGACCATTTCCAAATCTCTCGTATCAACGGTGATGAGACCTTTCTTTACGGTTTGATGGTAGGTGAGCTTCTTCAACGGCCTTTGTTTAACCTTATATCTAATCGTCAAATAGTAAACAGAATACTCGGGTAATATGAAATGGAGGCTTTGAGGCATCGGATCCATATCTCTAGAAAACACCAACGGCTCATCGTGTCCGTCGATCTTAATCGACATCGAAATGAATTTGACTAGGTCATTCTCAAAGTCTGCTAATAATTCCTCCCTGGTTTTTCTCTCTTCTGACATAGTATATCGTAACTAGAACTTAGATGAGGTGGCATTCAAATGGGACAGAGGTATTCAGCCGTTCCAAAGAATTTTTAGTTGTCAAATGCAGTTGTGTGAGTGAGAGAGAGTGTGTGATTTTCACCGAAAATACCAGAAATTCATTTAGCCGAGATATAATTACAGGTGATATTTAACTGAAAACTTAAAGTGTATTGCAACACTTGACTCATTTCATTTATTAAAAGGACATTACAAATTATAGACATAACTCAGTCTTGACTGGCAGGGGTACTTAATATCTCACCATACGATCCTTTTTCAATTTCAAGTTTGACTTGTTTCACAATGTCCTGTTGGGCTTCGCTCAATTCACTAAGTTGATCATCTGACAATTTATAGACCGACTGTAGTAGTTCAACATGATCAGGGGACAAGCTTTTCAATTCAACCGGTTTTTTGTTCAATGTCAACTCTATAAGCTCATGATTAGTAGTGTTTGTCAATAAGCCCAATTCTACCATAGCCAAAGCCAACTGCGGGAACCTTTCAAGCAAAAGCTTAGTGCCTTTTGGGTTTTCCTGACTCATGTTTTTCATTTCCTTCAATAACTGTAGCGCTGAATTGGAGTCAATATTAGAAAGTATGCTAGATATTACTTGTGATGCATTCTGGTTGGGATGTATTTGGATTCCTAGCGGTAAAGGTGGCAACTTGACTGCAGAATCTTCGTCTCCAATCATTTCATAATCATTCACAATGGCACATTTCAAAAACCTCCCATTAGGTAGTGATGTATAATTCAAATTGCGTACTGCCGATCCTGCCGTTTCAATATCTCCGTAGTTTACAATGGCATATCCTTTGGATTTTCCGGTTAATTCGTCAAATAATAGCTTGATGTCTAGAACAGGGCCCACAGACCTCGCTATTTCTAACACTTGCTCCTCTGTATAATCAAATGGAAACTTTCCTATCGATACACATGTGCTTTTGTTGTCCATTGTAGTGTGTTGTTATATAGTCTATGCTTTAAATCAAAGCAAGAAAGAACAAAGAAGAAAAAACAAAAAAAAAAAGAAAAAAAAGAGCCTGAGGTGTGTCTCTGATCGATTACAGGTTTATACGTTTACGAAAATATGGATGCCAAAGAAGTCAAGTCCACCATATCGAACCTCGAAAAGTCGGTAGATGAAACAACAATCTTGAAACTACTCAATATCTTAAATGATGAGGTGGTCCCCACTGAGAAGTTGTTAAGAGAGACCAAGGTTGGTGTGGTGGTCAACAAATACAGAAGTCACGACAATAAGGAGATATCTTCATTAGTAAAAAAGATGATTAGGTCATGGAGAGATGCTGTTCAAAATGAAAAGAATAGTAAAAAGAAATCGACGGCTAGCTCGCCGGTATCAACCCCGGCATCTTCTGGGTCAGCTGCATCAACAACAGTCCCAAATGCTGATAAATCAGGCAGCGGGCCAGCAGCTAACGGGAAAACGTTTACTGGACCAAGAAATGCTAAATCTGACGGAGTCAACACTACATTATATGATAATCCTACTCGTAACGCATCTGTCGGTGCACTTTACTCCTCCTTAGCTGTCGAGAGGGACGACTCCCCTCAGCATATAATCACAATAGCTTCGGAAATAGAAAGCGAGGTGTTTAAAAGTGAATACCTGAAAGTTAATGATGCGTACAGGAACAAATTGAGAAGTTTTACCATGAATCTTCGAAATAAAAAGAACCCAGAGTTGAGAGAACGTGTTTTATCGAGACAAATTGGGGCTGCACAATTTATCAAAATGACACCTAATGATATGGCACCTGAAGCTTTGAAGAAGGAGATTGAAAAGTTGCACAAACAAAATCTATTCGATGCCCAAGGTGCTACTGAAAAGAGAGCAGTTACTGATAGATTTACATGTGGTAAATGTAAGCACAAAAAGGTTAGTTACTATCAAATGCAAACCAGGTCTGCAGATGAACCTTTAACCACCTTTTGCACATGTGAAAACTGTGGAAATAGATGGAAGTTTTCGTGAAAAGTGTCCTACAATTGCGAAAATTCTTCATTATGTATTATATATATTCAAATCTTATAATGATTCCCGTATCTAATAAGAAACATTTTTTGTCAAGTAGGAGAGTAAATCGACCTTGGTGACAATTTGAACTGGCTTCAACTCCTCATCAGTGATTATTGCATTGGAGTTTGTTTCGAAAAACTTGTTTAATACGCTCAATTTAGTGTCCAAGGTTATTATATCGTAGTTTCGTTTTGTGAATCCCGATTCCTTGTGCACAGACTTTGATTTTTCAAAATCGGCCAACTTTCTAAAATCTATAATGATTGAGCTAATGGAGTTTGTCAATTGAACCTTCTTTGTGGATAACGATTTCAAAATCTTCGACAAGGTGATCAAACCAATCAATTGGCCTGTTTTGTTCAACACAGGTAATTGGTCAAAACCATTTGACTGTAAAAGGTCAAAGGTTTTAGCAACAGTGTCAGCCAGAGTGACGGTAACAACAGGTGGTTTACCTGCAACCAAGTCCTTGATTGTTTTATTGTTCAAGAATTCGTCGCTCTTATTTGTGGCTTCGTCTTCTTCGACTGTAAATCCATTTGATTTCAACCATTCGTCATCAGCAAATTTAGTCAAATAAGATCTAATGGAATCTGGGAACACAACAACAACAACATCGTCCTCAGTCAAATCCTTGGCAACTAACAAAGCAGCTTGAAGAGCTGATCCGGATGAACCACCAACCAAAATGCCTTCTTCTCTAATTATTCTTCTTGCCAACTTGAATGACTCGTCGTCGTCGGTTTTAATCCAGTTGTCAACGTACTTTCTGTTCAATACATCGGGAATAAAATCATAGCCAATACCTTCAACCAAATAACCCTCGGTGCTGTCATTTAAGCTTGAAGGTTCGGCCAAGATAGAGCCCTTTGGGTCGGCGCCTGTGACTTTGACTTTTGAATTCTTTTCCTTTAAATATCTGGACATACCACTTATGGTACCACCAGTACCGGCACCAGCAACCAAGTGGGTAACTTTACCCTCAGTTTGCTCCCAAATCTCATAACCAGTACCGTAATAGTGGGCGTCTGGATTGGCAACATTTGAATATTGGTCCAAAATAACCGAATTCGGAATTTCCTTCTCCAATCTTCTTGCAACTCCAATGTGCGATTCTGGATCATCAAAGGCAGCTTCGGTGGGGGTTCTGATGATTTCGGCACCCAAAGCTTTCAAGACGGATACTTTTTCGTTTGACATCTTTTCAGGTAAAGTAATAATGGTTCTGTATCCTCTTACCGCACCCACTAATGCTAAACCAATACCAGTGTTACCTGAGGTTGGTTCAATTAAAGTATAGCCCGGCTTAATTCTACCTTGTTTCTCGGCTTCAAGAACCATGTTTTTGGCAATTCTATCCTTGATGGAACCACCAGCATTAAACAACTCAACTTTGGCATACACCTTGGCTTTGATACCCAACGATTGGGGGATTCTATTCAATTTAACTAATGGTGTGTTTCCAATAAGTTCCAAAATATCATTATTCAATGGAGGAGGGGGTGTAGGATTGGACATGATGAGTGATAAATGAGCTACGAAGTTAAGGTGTATGGCTTGATTCAATATTTTTCTTCTTTGTTTTTTTTGTTTTTTTTTTTCTGTTTGGTTCATCGTTTCTTTTTATTTATGCACGATGCAGTGCCAAAAAGGTGTGGCGCGCGCGTGTATAACCGTGTATTAGCGGGTTTGAGTTAAACTGTATCTACACACTGATTATTCTGCACTTGACGACATCTAAATCTTCTCCAGGAACTCCCTTCGTAAAATCAAAGACTTGAAATAATCCCTTTCTGTCCACCGTAAATATCTTACCACCGTCTGCCAGGAACTGAACAGATGCCGCTTCGGTGTATCGCTCTGCATTGGCTGCTTCGCCCAATAGTACAACTGTCTTCTTGCTTGGCAGTCCAGCAGTACCTGTCTGAGAGTTTAAGTTAGGAACTGAGACTAGATACAAACGTCCATCTTTGTCAACGAGAACAATTCCGTCGCCTCGTGGGGATATTGCTGCAGCATGGATCGAAGAGCCCACTTCTGAAACTCTTAGTAGAACCTCCGAAGACTTCAACATTGAAAATTCCTCGTTATCATCTCTTTCGCGGCTCGAGAACGAGTTACCTATACTGTGGCCATCTGTATTTGGACCGGTTCTAGCAGAGTCGATCGGAGTTCCGTGCAAACGAATCAACACAGGTGGTCTATATCCCAAGTAGTTGGACGTGATAATAATTGTATTGGAATACATGTTTCCAAATTGTATATCGGTGATACCCTCACTTGCCATCATTAATTCGTCGTCAGTTCCTGCAGCTTCCTCTTTGCGTGAAATTGTGTCATCTCCATCCTTTTGCCTCGATCCAGTCCTAAAAGGTAATTCTGTCCACACTAAACGCGGTCTCTGGTATCCTTTTCCACCATCCCTTAACTTTATTATGATGTATCTCGCCTCCCACACAGTGGCACATATAATATGTGATGAAGATGCGTTGAATTTGACGAGCTTTATTGGATCACGGTACGGCACTGTTATCAATAGCGGGTCAGCAAAGTTAATCCAGAGGTCCTCGCTTATTATCATTCTATGCAAGACAATGAATGGCTGTTCTTTATCGGAAATTCTTTCTCTCCCAGTTATGCTACAAGCTAATAGGTTTTCGTTGGGGGAGATGCAAATGCATCGTATAGGGAAATTCGTCAAATATGTGTAAATTGGCTCACCAACTTGATATGGCCCGTCCCGACTAATATTGATTACTCTCATAACCCCCTTTGTTCCAGATATGACTAAAACGTTTTTGGTTAATTGACAATACGTTTGGTCCCATGATGCCAACCGTTTCTTCAAATCATCATTAGATGATTGAATGTCAGCTTTCCCACTTTTACCAAATTCATTCGATTTCACAGTTTCATGGTCACCTGGCGTTTTTGCTGATTTCAAGTTATTTTGTGATTCGCCGTATTCGCCAGTCAGTTTTCCACAGCATATAAGTGCCGGCTTTATGTGAGATATATTAGTTTCTCTTGATGGTAATACATATTCATATAGTTCCCACTTTTTTTCACTCAAGAGCACAAACCGAGTTGTTTCTAGCCCTTGATGGAAGTCAATAAACGTATGAATGGATGAATTGATTGATTTTTTAATTCCGAAAGTACCCAATTTGAATGGATTTACCGTACCTAGGCTCAATTTCATTTGCAGTGTAGGAAATGACAATAGCTTGCGGTGAAAAGGAAAACACTTGCTAAAATTGTATTCCTTCTGTTCACTCACATGCTCTAGTAGCGTTTCAAAATCAGAGCTATGCTCTTGATGGACAACAGACATTAATTCTGACCCATGCTGACGAAGATTCTGAGGTGACACAGAGACAGAACGACTAGATGGGGTGGTACCTTGTAGTGCAGATGAAACATCTTCGAGTGGCTTTTGTTTGACAATGTCAATCGCTTCAACATTGGAATGTGATTCAGTTAGACTCAAGCCTGATTGTTCTTCTTTGGCATACTTGTGAAATAAGGTCAATAAATTCATAGATTCGGACATGTTGTGTGGCAATTGAGAGGATTGTTCATCGCTCTTGAGGCTCTTTTTTACAACACTGCGGCGACTTCGTTCACTATGTGATGGTCTTCTCGGCCCTTGCATGTTAATAAATTGGTATAATTGCCGTAGTGGCTCAATTGGGGCTAGAATTGAGGCATTGCTAGCATGACAATTGGGGCAGTAATTCACACATTCATTAACAAAGATTGATTCCGAAGTCAAGCATCCGCAAGAAAGTACAGCTGCATCACTGATTGTCGTCTGGTTATATCCCGGAAACCTCAATAGGTTTAACAAGCTTGACTTATCCATGAACTTGATGAAATGGGAGCTAGTGTGAGGTTAAGGCAAGTCTTTATCAATTTCTGTTCTGTTTTTTTTCTTGTTCATTATCTCCGTATGATTTTTAGCTTAAAGAGTTGGTTTCTACTTGAAGGTTCTACTTCTGAAAATATTGGTAAATCGCAGTTGCACCATTTAAACAGCCTATATATTTTGGTCATCATCTCTAAGATTGATGCTATTGCCATTATAGGTATCCCTCAAAGTATCCCTGACATCATCATGAATAGTTTGTACTCGACTTAAAGCAGGTCTCGGACTTGAAGCACGCGACTCTACTGGGGTTGCGACAATAACATCTCGCTCATCGCGTTCGATATTTATAAGTGAAGACGACAATCCTCTATCACCCACGGATAAAAGTCCAGGTGCAATTGGTTGATGAAGATCTATTACTTCTTCTTCCTGATGTGGCGCTGTTGTCTGCTCTGTATTAGCCTGCCTCTGAATATCTTCGACTCCGTAATCAAAAAAGGAATATAGGGCTCTTCCAATTCCTCCAACAGTATTGTAAACGCTCCGAAAAATACCTACCTTCTCATTTCCAGGTGACTTGTTGCTTGCAGTGGTTTGGTCATAGGTTGGTTTAAGGATTAATATAGATCTTGGAGTCAAGTCAAGTTCAACTAGTGAATGCAACTCTTGCTCTTCTGAATACGTAACGCGTGGTAATGTTGGTCTATGAAATAAGTAGCCTGTAGGGTACGTAGTGCTGGCAAATGAGGGCATGTTACTTGTAGATGGTATGATTTCAATCTCGTCGTCAAGAAAGGTACGCACTGTGACTAGTGTATCCTCTGGTTTGAAACCATGCTTGATTGTGCTTCCATCAAAGAGCTTGATTGCCAAAAGACAATTCGTATGAGGTGCTTTTCTGGACAAATTTTGTGAAGGGGGATTTATATCAGCAACACGTTCTTTCTCAGCTCTTTCTCGGCTCTGTCGTTCTCTTTTATCAGCCTCCAATAACTCTCTTATGCGTTTCTTCTCTGCCATTTTTTCTTTTCTTTGTTGTGCAACGAGTTGCTTGTGCATTAAAACTGTTTGTTCGTGTTCATCTGTAGTAGTGGACTGGGATGCAGGTGGCTTCTGTGCTTTTGCAATGTTTTCCAGAGATGTAGGTGGTTCCTTGTCATTCGAGGTAGTTGCAGTGGGAGCAGGTGTTGTTGGATTATCTCCAGTAGTGGTATGTGAAACTTCTGGTGCTTGCGAAGAGGATGCAGTTGGTGGGTTTGATGGTGTGGCAGACACGTATGTTGAAGACTCGCTATGATCTGTTGAAAACTGGGCTACACATTTGTCAAAATCGTCTGGCGTAAAGTCGTTGGTGATCACCGCCTTGAGCTTTCCATGCTGTACAATATAAAAACTGGGAACGATTAAATTCTGGAAGAGCTGCTCAAAATACCCAAACTCAACACTACCCTGCGTCAACTTTAATGGTATTGAATACTGTTGCAAGTGTGAAACAGTGTGATCTTTGATAAACTTGCTTAAAAACGCTTCATTTGTGGAATTATCCGGCAGGGCAAGAAATACAAACAAAGGCTTGTAATTTTGAATAGTGAGTTGGACGGCTTCTTGAACAGAAGAATGGAATATACTATCCATTTCCGGCATGATAGTATGCAGCTTAAGTTGAGATGAATGACACGTCAAGAGAGTATTGTCTAACTTCTAGCTCCTGAATTTTTATCTCTCTTGGTGGGGGGAGAGAGAATAAAACGATTTTATCGTCAGTATTATTTTTTTATTGCCGCACAGGGGTATAACCCCCGAGAATATTCTTTAAAACCGAAGGCTACAACGCGCTTTGCTTCTCAAGCCCAACCTACTTGTTCAAACTTGCTTCTATGGTGAGTAGATACTAAACTACTGAGCTAAAAACAGAGCAGGGTCAAAATGCGCCAAGTCTGCATCCACAGCATCGCGACAGTGCTCGATCTCTTTAATCAACTTCGACTTTGCCATGTCTTGCTTCATTTTCTCAATCTCAAATCTGTATATATAATCAATTTGATTTTGTAGCTCATTAATTTTGTTATTCCTCTTTTCTAATTGTTGTTTCAAATACTTGTTTTCAAACTTGATCCTTGTAGACTCACTTTCAATATATTCCATCAAGTTTTTAAAATTCGTGGACTCTTTGCTTTCCACCAACGTCGAATCTGACAGTGTTGACAGGTTCGCATGCTCCAACTCTAGGCTTGTCAATTTATTTGTCAACATTTCCACTTCACTCCGGAGTGAATCAATGACACTTTTATCTGCATTTTGTAGATTATCCCAATTTACTGGCACAGTTGGCAATTTTGTTTTGTTTGCTTTAGCCAAAGTCTTGATTTTCTTTACCTCATTGGCATAATTGAGCGTCTGTATCGTCTCGTCATAATCCAAGGGAGATACGCAAAATAACATACAGGTTTTTGAATTACCGGCAAGGTTCTCTTTTAGGATGTATGTCAAAATCGAATCTCTATATGGTATCACTATCTTGTTGTTCTTTTGCGCTAGTAAGTTAATGCAACGGCCCAATACTGTCAAGGACTTGTTAATCAGGACTCCCTCTTTCATTCTTTGTTGCTGACCAAACACCTTCGTCCTGGCCAACCGTTCGGAACCAGCTAAATCAACTAATTTGATGTTTGAAGTCATTTTCTCACTTGCATTTCCAATACCTTCCCCAGATTTGCTTTCATACCTAGTTTGATGTAGCGTTAAAGTAATAACTGCATGGGATCTGGAGCTCACATCATTCATCAATGTTGGCGCAGTAGACCTCACCTTGTTCCCTAACTTCAAGAGGTTTGCAAAGTGTGCACAATTGTCAATCTTTACCTCCATTAAATGCTCAACATATGGACCTGTTTGAGGGTTTTCGCGAATCTTGCACTTTACATTTTGGTTCTTGTTTAGTAAATCGACAACCTGTTCATTATAGATTTCCATGTATGAAAACGTCAATTCGCAATGCACTTTTTGATTTATCGAAATCTCAATCTGCTTCAAGATGTCTTTAATCAAGGATGGAATTACACCAGGCTGTGCATCATCCCCCATCATAGTGTAAGTTTTCCCCGAGCTGGTTTGCCCATACGCGAGTAAACATACATTGAATCCTTCAAATAAGTGGGTAAGTAGATCTGGACCTGATTTACGGTAGAACTGGTAATTATCCACGTAATTGAGGTCATTACGTTGGAACGACCAAACGCACTCGTCAAAGTAGTATTGTTTCGATTCATTGGTGGTTGGATTTAGTATAGTGGTACAGCCTGGGGATGGCATTTGCACAAGCGACTGAGGAGTTGAAGAATCTTCAATAGCCTCGCATTCTCTAGGTAGTACTGGTCTCACCCTAACAAGAACCTTTATATTGTTCAGATCATTGTCCATTGTCTTGATGTGATGTGGATTGCTACTTGAAGTGGGTGGATCTTTGTTGGAGATAAAAAGGTAAACAAACAATACACGTGACTTTCTTTTCGTATTTGGTTTCTCATCGGAATGGGATTTTCGAATGTATTTTTGAAAACACACAGAAGAACTTGAAAATTTTGAAACAACTACAATGGGGGATGATGAGAGTAAGATCCTCGTATTCAACCCGAATCCAGATTATTTAGATAAGGTTTTGGCAAAAGCAAACTCCCAAAATGCAAAGTTGGGACCATTTGCCGCTACTATTTTGATGGGAGATGTATTACCTAGCGATAAACCACTACCTCAAACAGAACTTTTGGAAAGCACATATTTCGCGAAGGGACTTAATGGGATAAATAGTGAAGTTGAAGCAAAAGCGTCTGAACTGTCGTCAACGTTGGTTGATGTTGCCGAGAATCTAACCTACGTCAAACCACCATATAGTATTATCAAGTTGGTCTCTGGTATCACAATGTTGATTGTATCCGGTGAGCTTCTGAAAGACAGTCTCGATAAAATAGTTCAAACCAAGGCGAAAATAGATTTGCTTTTCACGTTCAGGTGGCCGACTGTATTATCCTTTATAGAGTCAGTTTCGGAGGCAGGTAATGAAACGATTGATTCGCTAGTGAAATTAATTAAACCAAAATACCACTTCGCAGTGGGGAAAAACGAAGGGGGAGTATATCGTGAAGTTGAACCCTTTAAGTGGCCTAGTGGTGAAATCACAAGATTCATAAGTTTGGCGCAGGAGGGAAGTGCTGATAAATGGTTTTATGCATTTTCCATAAGTGATAAACAAGATGAGGTTGCAAGTTTTATGGAAAACCCCTTCCTAAGGAAAAAGCGATCCATTGAAAATAAAGGTAGTGAGAATAAAGCAGCGACAAAGAAGGCAAAAGTCGTCACTCCTGACCAATGCTTTTTCTGTTTGAGCAACCCCAAAACTGAGACTCATATGATTGTGTCAATCGGTTCGCAAGCGTATCTAACAGTTGCAAAGGGTCCACTCACCAGATCAAACAAGGATTTATCATTTTCGGGCCATGGAATTATAATACCGATTCAACATGTTGCTAATGTTAATGACCGAGATGGCGCAATACGACAAGAAATCAACAAATTTCAGCAAACATTAGTCAAGGCATTTGCAAAACAAAAGCCATTTCTCAAGTTGATCTTTTTCGAATTGAACAGACATAACAACGTTCATCATAATGTCCAGTTTTTACCGGTTTATGAACCAGAACTCGATAAATTCCTGCAGTCATTGGAGTATAGAAGAGACACCAATAACGAAAAGTTCAAGCGAAATCAGAAGCTAGAGTTTGTCGAGTTTACTAATGAGGACGACTCAAAACTTGAGGCCATTGAGAAGGAGAATGATTATATCAAGTTTACTATTTCCATTAGTGAAGAGGAATCGAAAATTTACATTGCTAAATTAACCAAAGGTGAGCCAGTTGATATCCAGTTTCCTCGTAGGGTGCTAGCACATATGCTAAAGTTACCTGATCGTGTACAGTGGGATAAGTGTCAACAACCAAAATTCAAAGAAATGGCCGACTGTGAGGAGTTTAAGCAATTTTATCGAGACTACGACTTCACATAACTGTCAAGTTCCATTTGGCATTTTGTACATCCACAATTGAAAAACCATTCTTGTAACTCCAATTGTCGTTTGTCGACATTTTCATTTTGAAAATTGCCGTAGTTTATACACAACTCTTCACCAGGTGCGATATCTCTCAAGGTTTCAAAGCGCATATCGTTACGAATCCTAATTTTAATGATATTTGGTGCACATGAATGGTTGAAAAAGGAAGCCGATGGGTATACACTAAACCCAAGAAACTCTTTATCCTCATCTTTGCTTGTTGTGTTGGACCATATGCCAAAGGCATTGGAGAGGTTTTTGCCAATTAAATCTCTGATACTGTCAGTGGTAATAAATTGCTGAAGCTCGGCTGTACAGGTAAGTTTGATGAATTTAAAGATATTCATATAGGAGAATAGAAGGTATGGGTACTTGTGATACTTTTCACGTTCAGTCGATTGTAGAAGGTCGAATAAAAACATTTCCATCCCCAATGAAACTCCTTGATCGTTTTCATTGTCATGCTGACGCATTAGCTTAAACTTATTGAATAATACATTAACAATGTACTTGATCTCAAGGTATTCACTTTCATCAATTCTTGGTAAAAAGTTTATTCTTTTGCTGCCTCGTGTTGAGTCCATTCGTGCTGCCCATTGATCCACCCGCTCCCATTCACGATCTATTTGTTTATCCAAATTACCCACTGGTTCTAGAGCATCCACCTCTGGCTTTTTTAGTCCTGTGGAATAATTTTGCTCCACTAATAATAGGTTGGTTAGCAAGATATCATCAATGTCTTGGTCAACAAAGCTATCAAGGCACTCCTTGCTGCAAAAGTAGAGCGGGGACGATTCTTTCTTTCCAGTTATTGCTTTAGTTAGTTTGGTCTTCATGGAATCTCCATTATAATAATTGAAGCAGTACGTGCAAACTTCCTTCCTGAAGGGTTTTGCTATTGAAGATCCAACAGGTGAAGTACAATAATGGATCTGAGTTCCTTTGGGTATTGCCGATCTGGCAAAGCATCCCCTACCACCGTACTCTGTGGGGCCAACTGTAAAATAGGAAGATATACTATTGAGTTTTTCTTCTATTGATGGTGATGTCAATGTGTGTGGTTGGTCGGTCGGTATTTCCTCCATTATTGATTGGTGAATGTTCATTAAACTAACAAATCGATGAGCTTTGTTTTTCACAACCGAGCAGAGTAAGAAAATTTAGCCTATCGTGCATATGCATTTCCACAACCAAATAATATAAAAGATAATCACCTCTACAACTTCCACCTGTCACTACAGCAATAAGGGGAAAAATATATAAAGACTCATTTATTTCGTCCATACTAGAAGATCCATCCCAAGAATTTCTCATAGAACCACTCCTTGTCATATTTAATTCCTTCTGCTTCTCTA